ATTTGGGGAAGGGTAAGCATTTCTCCTTTGGGAATCTGTTGTTATTGTTTAATATTTGCCTTCTATAAATAATAATGGCTTTCACTTTGCCAACACAGTGCAAGTGCCTCGTGTGTCTAGCTGGATCACAGATGAACGTAGAACCCATGGAATGGTTGATGCCAGTGGGTGTATCTGTCTCATTTCCAGCAGTCCAATGACTGCCTAGAAGTTTGAGGCACAGCCTGTCTGCATGTGTAATGCAGACAGACAGACATACGCATGCAATCTAGAATACTCTCTGCCCTGACAAGGCTGAAAACCCAGTTTACACAACCACAGCAGAACACGGGCCTGGGAAGTCAGTTTAGAATGCAGATCAAGTGTTCCGTGCTCTTCAGCTTCCGGTTATGTGAGATGGTTTCTGATATTACTTGTTAAGAAAGATGAGCTCTGGGATCCAGTTGATCCATAGTTGCCTGTAGATTATCTCCTTTTGGACTCATCTGGGCCACGTTTGAATCACAGCCTGGCATGCCTCTCTCTGCTTCATCTTTTCTACTGTCTCTTGCCCAAAAGTATTGTGTGTTTAGGTATCATGTACTCATCTCAATCTTAGGACAAGCCAAGGAGAATTTGCAGGCATGTTGACCAATGGTTGAGCAACCATAAGAAATATGAGGCTTGAAGTTGGGTCACATGAGGAAAGAGGGAATTTCTGCATTGGCTATGAGCTGGATTTAAGAGACCAGAGACCACTGAGGTTTCCTCCAATATCAAGATATGATGTCAATAGGAAATCTGCTGTAATATATTTATATCTGAAAAACCAAGTATGAATGACTAGGAATACCTTTTTTTTTTTTTAGGGTAATCTATATCCCTGTTCAATTTGATTGTTTGTTCACTCATTCATTTATTTATCAATTTATTCACGAAATAATTGCTGGGAATATGTTGTGTGTTAAGCACTTTCCACTCCAGATGGTGAAGGCAAGAGTGGGGTTTCTCAAGAAGACAGGAGAAGCATGTCAGAATTGCGGATCGCCTTTATCAAACTAACATAACTACCCCACTTTTTACTCACTGCTTCCATTCTGATAAGCTTCCAGTGGGGTCCCTGACAGGGAGGGAGACATGTTAGTTTTCCAGATAGTTAATGCCAAGCCAGGGGATTCAGGCATGACCCACTTCCAGGGATTTTGGCATTTTTAGTGAGCAGATCTATAAAGTCTGAAGAAGTTTCCAGGTAATTATGCTATTCAACCCCTCACCCTGCCTTATAAAGGGAGGGAGACCTAAGACAGTCACGGATGCACAGAATATGGTATCCAACTTCTGGAATTTGGGTATAGGTGCAGTGGTTAAGAGCTATGGCTGCTAACCAAAACGTCAGCAGTTTGAGTCCACCAGCCACTCCTTGGAAACCCCATGGGGCAGTTCTACTCTGTCCTATAGGGTCACTGTGTGTTCAAATGGACTCAATGGCAATGGGTTTGGTTTTCTTTTTTAAAATAGTAAAACAAGTGAGTTGGAGACTTTCCTTTAAAAAAAAAAAATGGCATGTTTTAGAAACTGCTTTCTGGGGGGAAATCTCTATTTCAGGAGTGCTTGAACCTTCCTCTGTACTTTAACGACATTTATGCAGAGAAGCTCCATTTTACAAATACAAATAAAAGCTGCCTTCACATCAGTCCTCACCTGTGACCTGCCCATTTCTTTCACTTCCTAGAGAGCATATTTCCCGAAAGCCTCAGGGAAAGCTGGGCGCTTGCAGGATTTCATGCCCCGTCTTTGGGGGAAGTGCCCTGAGCATTCCCAGACATAAGGATCTAGAGGGAAGAAGACCAAGTGGTGCGGGGCGGAGGGGCAGGAAATCCCAGAGCAGTACGTCTCCAACGAAGTTCAGGACTTAGACTTGTTGGTACCTCTATAGGGTTTTGCTCTGAAATGAGGCATTGGAGTTAAGTGATTTTATACTTTCAATGGACCAGGACTCACAGAACTGTGGAGCTGATAAACCCAATTTATTAAACAACTATGCAATACCTTGAGTAGGCAAATGTACAGAGATCAGAGGAAGCACTGAGTTTCTGCTTATGGTAATGGACAATTTGGCTACCAATATTGGTGATGGTTACACAACATGATTGATATAATTGGTGTCACTGTGTACATGTGAAAAACGTTGAATCGGAAAATGTTGTGTTATCTGTAGTTTTACAACAATAAAAAAGATAGTGTTGATTGCAGTTGTTTATTTAGCTTCAGTTAAATTCCCTATGCATGGTATTTTAAAGAAAAAAGTAAAATTGTTATTTTTAAGTAACTTCTTAACTTTTAAATGAAAGCTCAGAGTTGAGACAACCTTCCTGGATGTTGTGACGTCCATGGCAGCTCTAAGTGTGTCAGAGTAGAACTGTGCTCCACAGGGCTTTATTTGTGTGTGTGTGTGTGCTTTAAGTGAAAGTTTAGAGCTAAAGTTAATTTCTCATCCAAAAATTTATACCCATGTTGTTTTGTGCCATTAGTTACAATCTCCACAATGTGACAGCACATTCTCCCTTTCCACCTCGGGTTCCCCGTGTCCATTCAACCAGTTCCTGTCCCTTCCTGCCTTCTCATCCTGCTTTTGGACAGGAGC